GGGCCCGAGCAACGCTCCCCTCTAGCCTTCGCCAAGTTTAAAGCCCACGTGAGGCCTCCTCCAGTCTTGTCCCCAGCGTATCTGACACTGAATGCATCTGATTTTGTCAAAAATCCTCCTCTTTGGTAGCAAATTCTCTTTGCAGTCTCTGTCTTAGAATTCAGCCCTTCCTTTAAAAAAAAAAAATTCAAATGTTAGTCATTTGAGACATCTTAACTCTCTGGTTGGAGAGCCTTCCTTTGATCATCTTCCGTCTCACCTGGGCTCAGGGGTGCTTTCCCCTAAACCAGACCTGCTGGGCGCTGGGGCTCTGCCTTCGGTGCCATTGTGTCCCCTGAATACTATGAAGCTGGGGAACACACAGTAGACATTCAATACACAGAGAGTCCCCAGCGGGTGATGCTTCTATTTACAGGTGTGTGTTTTTTATTTTACAGTGGTGCGAAAGTGATACATGTGTAGTATCATATTTTATTTTTATTATTATTTTTAAATAATACATTTTATTTATTTATTTTTTTTTTATAGAGAGGAAGGGAGAGGGATAGAGAATTAGAAATACCAATGAGAGAGAGCCATCAATCAGCTGCCTCCTGCACCCTCCCTTCTGGGTATGTGCCCGCAACCACGGTACATGCCCTTGACTGGAACCGAACCTGGAACCCTTGAGTCCGCAAGCCGATGCTCTATCCACTGAGCCAAACCAGTTAGAGCTGTCCTTCCCATTTTAAAATTGGACCTTTTCCGGGGCTAGCAGTTTGCAGTCCGATACCCTCTCATGATGCTGGGCAGCCACAGCTCCCAACCGGCCACGCGATCATGAGGGTTGAGCACCGACCTTCCACGGCGGACGGAAGGTGGCTCTCGTGTTCCTTGGCTATTGTGCCCGGCGTGTGTTGAAGGCGAGTTGGGCTAGCTCTGACATGCCCTAGGTTAGGCGTATTAAATTCCGATGTAGATTATTTCCAATTTACGATATGATGTGACCCCATCGTCATTTAGGGAGCATCTGTATGAATGTTGATTAATTGACTTTCAAAATAGTCCCCTAGCTCCCCCTACAACTGTCAGCAGCTACTCCCCTAGTTTACTGTCCCCCTGTATCGCCCTGCAATGCTCCTTAGGAACTTACAGCCCAAACAACTGACTCCCTAGGTAATCCCAGGACTCGCTGCTTCGCTCCTCCTGCACCCCTTCATGGAGCCTCACTTCTTAACAACGAAGCCAGACAATTTCATCCTGAGTTGGAGCAGTCTCATGAATTCTATCTTTCTCTGCTAGCCTCCTCCGCCCTATACATCCTACCTCCACGTACTCTGTAAGAAGCCTAATCAGTGCAAACACCAGGGAAGCCGAGGCCCTCTGCTGAATCTGGTTGAATGTGGGATTTGCTCCCTCAGCTCAAAATTAATATTATAAGTGTACTGGGAGTACATTTTTTACTTTCTGGCCCCCAGCTAATACTTTTTACAAGAGGAGTTCGGTATTTGGCTTAACTAGTTATCCAAATGCACAGGAAATTGCCAACTCCTTTTTTTGGTCTTTCCCCTATCTCACCACTGCCCCCCATGAGAGAGAGAGAGAGAGAGAGAGAGAGAGAGAGAGAGAGAGAGAGAGAGAGGTCACTGGAGATGGGAATGTTGAAGTCCTTGCTGGAATTCTCCTTAGGTTGTATCATTGTTTGGAAGTTATTGGTTCTCCTCCAGGAGCAGATATGGACAGAGTGAAGAGAGCCCGTCTTAGCTCAGAATATCAAGGAGCATAAACCCTAGGCCTTCATCTCTCTGTAAGGCTGATCTAGGGCAATATGGTCTTTCTTCTAATGAGTAGACAGATTCATATTACAAATATTTATCAAACACTTATCTTGTTCCCAGTACGGTATTGTTCATTATAGCATCTTATTTAACTTAATTCTAATCCTTGAAGGTAGCGTGGATTTTTTTTCACTTCTAAGTGAGGAAGCAGCCTGGCCGGTGTGGCTCAGTAGTTGAGCATTGGACTATGAACCAGGAGGTCATGGTCTGATTTCCCCACCAGGGCACAGGCCAGGGTTATGGCTTGATCCCCAGTGTGGGGTGTGCATGAGGCAGCCGATCTATGATGCTCTCTCCTCACTGATGTTTCTATCTCTCTCCCTCTCCTTTCCTCTCTGAAATCAATAAATATATATATATATATATATATATATATATATATATATATATATATATATTTTTTTTTTTTTTTTTTTTTATTTTTTTTTTTTTTAAATAAGGAAGCAAGTGTTCAAAAGTGTAAGGTGACTTACTCTGAGTGGTAGAACCAGATTTTTGGGTTCTGGGTCTATTGTTCCTCACATTTCACCATGTTTCTTCTTCTGTGATTTTTAATTCTTTGTTAATAGGTCCTCTGTGCAAGAGCGGGAACTCTGTTAAAGAACCTACAGAGCCCAGGCATCCCATTGCAACAAACCCCTTCTAAAGCCAGCATTCTCTGCCGAAATCAGTTTGGCTCAGTGGATAGAGCGTCGGCCTGCGGACTGACAGGTCCCAGGTTCAATTCCAGTCAAGGGCATGTACCTTGGTTGTGGGCACATCCCCAGTGGGGAGTGTGCAGGAGGCAGCTGATAAATGTCTCTCTCTCATCGACGTTTCTAACTATCCCTCTCTCTTCCTCTCTGCAAAAAAATCAATAAAATATATATTAAAAAAAAAAAAAATAAAGTCAGCATTCTCTCCTGGGTGGCAAGCATTCAAGGACATTATGAAAGTTCTTCCAATTTCTCAGTGGGAATTGGGAGCTATGGACATCTTCAAAATTGGGTCCAAGTGTTAGCCATCAAGGGACCAAACAGGAAGCCTGATGATGCTGTCAGGTGCTGGTTGTATGTTCCTTTATGCCAGACACAGTGGGTCTTAAAGTTGTATTAATTTAATTTGTTAACAATATTGAAAGTACCATGAAAATGGGGGAGTGGGGTATCTCCCCCAAGATTTTTAAAAAGACCCCTTGACTATAATGAAAAATTTTAAAATTGGTTAGTAAAAATCTTTCCTACAAAAGTATCTAGTACTCCTTCAATATTTGCTATGTATCGGGGTTACCATTATGAATTTTGTGTGTGTTATTTAATCTTCACAATGGCTCTGCGAGGTGAATGCTATCTTCATTTTACACAGAAGGAAACTGAGGCTCAGATAGATTAAGCAGCATGTCTGAAGTCACACAGCTTTGAACTCACACAGTGTGTGACTCCAGAGCCAACGTGTGTAACCACCCTTAGGGCTGCCAGACAAAATGCGGGATGCCCAGTTGAGTCTGAATTTCAGATAAACAACCCCAAATATTGCATGGAACATATTTATACTTAAAACCTATTTGTTGTTTCTCTGAAATTCAAATGTAACTGGACATCTTGAATTTTATTTGCTAAATCTAACAACCCTCCCCACACTCTCCTGCCTTGTATAAATGCATGTTTCTCTTTCTGTTTGGGTTGCTTGACTTGTGGCGTACATATGCTTGAGTTTTGGTGCAGAATGAATGATGTGGACGCGCAGCCACAAAGTTAGAACAAGCCCTGCTGGATATCGTTTCCCTCCATTTTTTGAGGGCTGGGTTGGTCTGGGGACAGTCTCCTCCTTGATAATGTAGTTGAGCGTAAGCTTTTCCCTCCTGATAAGAAAGCACTTTGCTTACTGTGGGCACATCTGGCCTCCTGCCTGCACTGGGCTTTCTCATTGGCGGCCAGCGCTGTCCTGCCTGGTGCTCACTCTTTTTTTATATATTTTATTAATTTTTTTTTTTTTTTTTTTTACAGAGAGAAAGAGAGGGGGATAGAGAGTTAGAAACATTGATGAGAGAGAATCATCGATCAGCTGCCTCTTGCACACCCCTACTGGGAATGTGCCTGCAACCAAGGTACATGCCCTTGACCGGAATCGAACCCAGGACCTTTCAGTCCACAGGCTGACGCTCTATCCACTGAGCCAAGCCAGTTTCGGCATGGTGCTCATTCTTATCCAACATCCTTGCTGCAGAAATCCTTGATGGCTTCTAGGAGCTGCAGAGCCGCGTGGCCGAGTAGCTGCTTTCTTCCAGGTGACGGGGAAAGTTCGAGCTGGCCACAGCTTAGCAGGGAGGGACCCTACACATAATGTCTGCTATACACAACATGCAAATGGGCAGCAAACACGCCACCCAACTAACATCCTTCATTATCTTTGCGTGCCCTCCTTTCCACCCTCCCTCCCTCCCTCTCTCTCTCCGTCCTTCCCTCTTTCCCTCTCCACAACACACACACTCCTGACATGTTTATGGAGAACCTACCAAGTACCTGGTACTTTTCTAGGCTCCAGGAATATAGTAATGAACAAAATAGATGTCCCTCTCTCTCCACAGGAAAAATCTCATTCTAATTCAATCAATGTTTTGTCAACTGAAAATAGGTTCCAGTTTGAGATCTTGCCAATGAGTAGCTCTGTGCTTTTGTGCAATTCATTCGATCCCGCCAAGCAGGATTTGTCCCTCTGCAAAAGGAGACTTATGCATCTTTCCCTGGCATTAAATTAGGTCCTGCGGCATCGTTTTGGAAACTGTAAAAAGATATGCCAATGTCAGGTCATTGTTTTACCTCCTCAAAGGCAGGGACCGTATCTTTCCTATCTTTGCACCCTCAGCAACAAGCACACGTGCTTGGCAGGTAGCACGAGCGCCACTCAGGTGTGTTGAATAAACGTGTGAAAGGTGCTAGCTGCGTGTGCGTAGTATGTTTTTATTTAAAATATGGTAAATATTGTCTCTGCTCTTGAAATCACTGCACCAGCAGGCAAAGTACATGAGGCATGGCAGGCCGTGGCAGATGCAGTTCTACTCTTGGATGACAGGTTTCTAAGAGTCTGAGGTCTAAAAATACATTTTGCAAACGTTTATTAGATGGAAGCCTCTTTTTATTGATCTGCTTCCCAATCTGAATGGTTCTCGAAGGCCTTGCTGGGCAGGTCCTGGCATTCCTAAGCACATGACGCTCTCTAGGATTCTGAGCTAGCGCTGAGTGGTGAAAGGACCCTGCGTGTGGGAAGCATTTGGGAGGAAAAGAAATATAGCCAGTCTGTTCTCTTCAAAAGTTTGGACCTCATGTTAGAAAATCTCATGGCTTTTTTTTTTTTTTTTTTTTTTTAACTTAAGGTCAGTGTATTAAGATCAATGCTGAAAGTTATAAGGAAAATATTCCCCTGAAAATTATTTTTTCTTGGGGAAAAAAAAAAAGAAAAGAAGGAAAACCAATACCCCCTCCACAGAGGCACAGATGCTGTGGTAGCCACGCCTCTCCGGCTGAGGGGCTAGTCCCTGATGGGTGAGGTCACCGTCTCGGTCCTCGTCATCCTCTGGCTCCGACTCATCCATTTCCCGGAATATAGACGCATCTACCTCCACATTCTTCCAGCCTCTGCCAAGAACTGGAAGCCATGGGTCAAGATTATGATCTGTTTCAAATAGCTGTTTCCCACGTAAGTTGTTTTGGGTTTTTTTCCTGCTTGCTCTTCTTCTCTCATTCATTTCCTTTTCGTTTCCAAGAAAGAGTTCTGCGTTGAACTTGGCCTCCCCACTCAAGAAACTCTCAGCTGTGACAGGAGTGCTGTGAAGTGATTGCTTTTTGGCTGCCGCCTGATTTGCTCTGTGCTTCTCCCAGGGATACAGACATGCTCACTGGGGGTTAGGATGCTGCTCTCGGTTCCACAAAAGTGTACAACTCAATGCAGTGGCTCTAACAGACACCAGGCCGATCCTGACAATTAAAACACAGGATCTAACGAAACTGGTTTGGCTCAGTGGATAGAGCATTGTCTGCAGACTTAAAGGTCCCAGGTTCAATTCTGGTCAAGTACACTGGTCATGTACATTGGTTGCGGGCACATCCCTGTTGAGGGGTGTGCAGGAGGCAGCTGGTCAGTGTTTCTCTCTCATCGATGTTTCTGGCTCTCTATCCCTCTCCCTTCCTCTCTGTGTAAAATCAATAAAAATATATTTTAAAAAACAAACAAACAAAAAAACACAGAATCTGTAAGGAGGCCCAGTTAGTAACGCGAATAATAATGATAATAATAATAATAATAAATACATGACAAGGCCGCCTAGGAGTAAAAAACAGAAACAGCAGGATCTCAGCCGAGAGGAGAAATCAGATACCCTCGCTTCCCCTCTCCCTTCCGCATGCCCCATCCTTGGAAAGTCCCCTGGCCTCCGCTTGTCTGATTGCTTCCTCTTCTCCTGCTCTTTCCCACAGGGACCGTGAGCCACTGGCCCCACTGCTCTCTGACGGTGCCCTCTCTTCCCTCCCAGCTTAGATGCCAAGGTCCAAGGCTGGAACCACTCCCCTCCCCCTCTCACTGACCTCATCAGCAAACCCCAGCCCTGGCCAAATCCAGCTCTCCTCCCCCATCCCCAGCCCCCAGCAGTGGCATGCGGCTGGAGAAAAACCGCACAACCTTGCTGAGTGATCTCACTTTAAGGAGAGGACCCTTAACTCAGGAGGGCACTCAGCACTGTCCAGACTGCTATGCTTTTCCAGTAACTCTTCAATGGCGTTCTCCCTCACCTTCTCCCGTCTCCTCAAACAGCCAACAGCCCCTCCTGACTCACAGCTTTATTACCTAGAGTGAAAGAAAGCACACAGCCCAGACCTAACCCAGTGAGACCCTGGCACGTACAGTACCAACTGGGAAAGGGTGCACTGTGTGTGTGTGTGTGTGTGTGTGTGTGTGTGTGTGTGTGTGATTGCTAAAAGCACCCCTCCCCCCTTACCTGGAGCCGTTAGAAAAGGTACCCCACCCCTTCCTCCGGGTGGACGTGGCCTTACTGTCTGCCTGGCACAGCAGGGGCTGGGTTCCGGGTCCCACCTGCCCTCCTTCTGCTCCACGGCAGCCCGAGCACGCCAACCAATGCACTACCTGACCTACCACCCACAGACTTCGCCTTCTCTCCAAACATAGTGTGTGGACACACTGTCCTTCCTCCTAGCCTCGGCCGATCCCTACACTGCTCTGTTAGGGCCCATTGCTTCTCCCCCACACCGGACAATCTCTCCTGTTGTCTCTTATCTTTTGCCCCAATTACTCTACCCCCCCCTCCCCCCCAAGAGAATCCTTCAGCTTACCAGCGGGAGAAAACGCCTCCCATTTTATTTATTTATTTATTTATCTGTCTATTTATTTATTTTTATTAAGGTATCTGTGTACATATCTTACCAATTCTCCCCCATCCCCATACATGCCCTCCCTCCCCAGAGTTTTGCGTCCATTGGTTATGCTTATATGCATGCATACAAGTCCTTCGGTTGATCTCTTATCTCCCCCATATCTCCCTACCCTTCCCGCCGTAATTTGACGGTCTGTTTGTTGCTTTACTGTCTCTGTATACGTCTCCCATTTTAAATACCCTCCCTTGGTCCCAAGTAATCCTCAGGCTGCTAGCTCTTTACAGCAAAGCTCTTCAGGAGCTCTTTAGACTGGCTGTAAACACTTTCTCTTCTTCACCTCCCAGTGGCTGTTAACACACCCTAATCAGACTTTCTCCCTGATGACCCTTCCGAAACTGCTTTGGTCAAGGACATCAGCCGCCTACGAAGGGCCAAAGCCTGCCGTCAGACTCTCAGATCTCATCTCGTTAGTGTCATCAGTGTGATAAGCCTGATCCCTCCTACCTCCTGAAAACAATTCTTATCTTCCAACATTCCAGCCTCTTCTTTCTACTTCATCTCCAAGTGCTGGAGTTCCTGTTAGCCCTCTCCCTCTGCGAAGCTCCCTCCCTGAGTGATTTTCCGTAAGCCTAAGGCTTAAAAAGCATCTATGGATCGCAAGTTTGTATCTTCACACTCATATATCCAGTTGTTTACTCACCATGCCCGCTGGGACGGAGAACAAGTCCCTTATGTGACATGCACAACACAATTCCTACTCCCACCGCCCCATATTTTCTCTTTGAGTCCTCCGAAACTCATTCAATGGCACCACCATTTACCCCTCCTCCAGGCCCTGAATCTAAGAATCATCCATGATCTTTTCATTCCTTCTCACACTCTGTCAAATCCATTTCAGCTCGAAATGTGTCTGAATAGCCCTCTTCTCATCCCTTCTCTGCCCCAACTTATCCCAATCTCCTGCCACCTCCTTACTGGTCTCCCTTAGGACAGCCATGCTTCTCTGTTGTGTATGATACACACATTCGCAAGAGAAACTTTATATATATATATATAGATGTTTTATAGAGAGAGGGAGAGAGAGAAACCTTCTGCAGGTCTCTTGTGAGGAATGGAGCCCACAATCAGCATGTGCCCTGGCCAGCAACTTTTTAGTGCAAGGAAGGATGCTACAACCAACTGAGCCACACCGGTCAGGGCTTCAAGACGCTGTCATTGCTCTGCTCACCCTCCCATGGCTTTCTGCTGCTCTTATGACTGCCTAGAAGGCTTCCTGGGATCTGGCACTTCCCCACCTCTCAGCCTACAGCTTGCTCTCTGGCCGGCTGACTCCTCAGCCATGCTGACCTTTGCTGTCCCTGCAACGTGCCAGGCATATTCCCACCTGAACTCACGGTGATTTTCTTTCAGCTTGGAAAGGCTCCCCGCCCCTCTCCCTTATTTATTTGCTAGGCTTATTCCTGCCTATCCTATCTATCCTTCGTGCTTATGCCCAGAGCTCTCCCTGGCCTGGCAATACCAGGTCAGCGGTAAAGTCACCCCCTTCCTGACTTTATTTCTTTCACACCACTTATCAACACCTGACATTTCTGTTCCCTTGTTTGTTGTCTGTCTCCTCTCTCCTAGTTCAGTAGAAGGCAAGCTTCAAAAGCTAGCCCATGTATGGCTTGACTGCCTAGAACAGTGCCCTGCATCACTTAGGTGTTCAATTAGTACTAGTCCAACGACTGCATTTCCTCCATGGTCCTACTCCTCCTGACTCTTTAAACCCTTCCTCGGTTCAGTTCCGGGCATCCGCAACCCCAAGTTGTCCCATCCTCCGCTAAGCCCCGACAGCCCACACCTCCCCCAGCCGTCCTTTGCTCTCCCCGCCCCTTCCTGCGCGGCTCCTTTAAGCGGAGTCCGGAAAGCGACGGGGGAGGGCGGGGCCAAAGCCTCGGCGACGCGGACTCGGAGGGGCGGGGCGTGAGCAGGGGGCGGGGCTGCGTGCTGCGTGCGTGCGCGTTCTGGAGGCGCCGCCGCCGCCGCCGCCGCCGCCGCTCTCGAGGCCGCCGCCGCCGCCGCCGCCGTCGCCGCCGCCGCGCAGAGCCAGAGCCGGAGCCACGGCCGAGAGGAGGGAGGAGGAGGAGGAGGAGGCGGAGGAGGCGCTGGACTGGGGGGGTGAGTGAGGGGCGGGGAGCCGGGGCCACCCGGGAGGGAGCGGGGGGCGCGGGGCGGCCGGGCCGGGGCTGAGGCGACTCCTGTCGCCGGTCCGTCCCCCGGCTCCCCCTTCCTCCTCCGCGCTCCTCGGTGTCCGGGGCGGCGGCCCGGGGGCCTGGCCGGCGGGAGGGGCCGGGGCTCGCGGAGGCCGGGCCGCCGCCGCCGGGGCCGGGCCGGGCCGGGGCCGGGGCCGGAGCCAACCACGCCCGCCCGCCCGCCCGCGGACGGAGCCGGTCGGCTGTGGCTGGGCCTGCGGGAGACGGACGGGAGGGGCCGGGCCGGGTGTGGGAGAGAAAGAGGACATTGTGTCCCCCACCCTGCAACTCCCGGAGGTGTCATGGCACTAGCCCGCTTCCCCCGCCGTCTCCCGGACCGAGCCCGCGCCCCTCGCCGCCGGGGCCAGGGAGGAGATCGGACGTCGCCTCTCCTTCCCTCTTGCCAGTCAGTCCCAGACCAGGGTCAGCTTTTCCCTCTGGGGGGCACGCGGACAGGGCGGCGGGGAGCGAATTCTCTGTCTCCCCCACCCCCCGCGCTAGGCGGTGCGGGAGCCGGGAGCGTGGCCCTGGTCCCGGGCCCCCGGGCCCCCCGCTCCCTTTACCCCCCAGCGCACCGGGCTGACATCCCCATCCCATC